TTAATACTCACTTAATGAATAAGCCTACCTTCAAATTTAAACTCGTATTTCTCATAGGTGGTAGTTGGTGCTGTTGTATAGTTGTTCTCACTCTGAGGGTCTACAAGAGAAACATTCCCATTTATGTTGCATTGAATCATGATATTATTTAACCAATATACCCTTAAATAATGTACCTTAACACCACAAAATGCAATGTTCAGTGGTTGGCAATCAAAGTTCAACATCTTGCCTTACCTTGTTCAGGATCGATGTATTTGCACGTTTCAAACTTTTCCAGAGTTTTCCACTTTTTAATTCTGGCTTTCTCCAGGCACCATTGGCTGGGGGGTGCTCAAGTCCAGTCCTCAAGACCTACTACTCTGCAACTTTTTGATGCACCCAATTTTCAACCCACCTGAATCAAATGAATGGCTTTTTACAATGCCTCTGCAGAGCTAAGTGAGGGGATTGAGTCTTTAGATTCAGATGTTTTAGAGAAGAGATGCATCTAAATGTCACAGGATGGTAGCTTTTGAGGACTGGACTTGAGCTCCCCTGCCAGTGAGTGCACTGCTGTGTTACGTCAGGGTGTGCAGAGAAAAATAAAGCTACCAGTGGAGGCAAAGACACCCACTCCAGCATAAAAAAATAAATAAATAAATGTGGCACAAAAATAAGACCTGTCCACCTGGAATAGTCCAGATCCTCCCGATTAGACATTCTGGGCCCGCACCCACCAATGTATTTCAGTATGAAACTATACAACTAGCATCTCTAGGAACTGAAAACAACAGTCCCAAGAGGATCGTTACAATTCAGAAGTCATTTTTTAAATAGTAGCCTTCTTCCTGTTTTATTATTTTTTGATATTTTTTTATAACTCTTAGCCTGTTCAGATCTGTTTCTAATGAGTATTTTTATTTTTTAGCTTTTTATTAGGGATGTATACCAAAGTGTTGCTTGCTTATGCTCTTTCAAGAAAAGATTGAAATTCAAAAAAATTCCTTTTTCATATATGCAATGGCTGTAAAGTATTGTAAATCTTCCGTTTCTACCTTTGTTTGGAGAGAAGATATAACGTCGTATCATGGGTTGATTTATCCCAGTGTCATTATGTTGTCCAAGTCCAATGTCCGAATGGAGGTTTGTGGTATTTTTTGCTGATGTCATTGCAGCTGATGAAACAAAAATATGAAAATGCAATGAGAGAGAAGGGTTGACACATTGACTTTCTGATTATTCCCATTAAACTTTAGTCTGTTTTCATTTAACCTCAGCCAAATATTAGTCTTAGATTTGGGGAGTATAGGGTATGTGGATTCCCAAACAGTTTGTATTGTAAAATAGGCTCTGCATCCCAATCACTCATAATCTAAGGTTTTTATTTGCAGAGCAGCCATATTTAAATCCCACCTACACATTCACGCTTAATGAGGACATTTAATCCCAGCTAGTGTATGACTTAGACTTATACTAAGACTCAACTTTATGTATCCGTTGGGATTACTCCTTCAGGAAAATTCTGGTTCCAGTAGCTTATGTAGATTGCAACGGGCAGAGTACAAGCAAGATGCCATTAAAGATAAAAAAATATGATAGACAATATAAAAAGAGTGTATGTTGTACAAAAAAGCATTAAAAAGTTGCAATTTCCTGTAATATGTTTCCTTTAGATATAAAAAAATCTGCGCAATAGAGAGCTAAAGGAAAGGCTACACAGAATTGACTTGGATAATTGCACTTGAAGAGCAGAAATGTACTGTATATAAATAAGTAAATATTATACACACTACTCAGTAGTTTACTTGCATTATTTGGCTTGGTATGTGGAATCTCTACAATAGCATTAGTGGGTATCAAGAGCTGGACCTTTTAGATAATCTGAATAACTATATGAATAACTATAGGCTTCACTGGTAAAATTTGAAAGTGAGGATTAGTGAGATTAGCCTTGCGGGGTCACAACAGCACATTGATCCAACAAGCACCAACCCGTTTAGTGAACAGCAGAATTAACCCTTTAAAACCAATTGTACCATATTTGATACAGGAGTTTTTGAGGACTTTGCATCATCAGTGTGATCTTGCTGATCTTAAAAACCCTGACTTACACAATCGGACAGATGTAATGGACAGAAAACGTATATAATATTCTACAGAAATGCCTAATGTATCAAAATTGATGCAAATAAATTATCGAATTTAATTTTTACAAAATATATATATATTCTTTTCTTTCATTTTTCAGAGAGTTCAATGACAACTCTAAATAAAAAAATGAATTTTCTGTCGATTATTGCATGGTCGAGGCTTTAAAGGATTAAAAAGATAAATTACTTTAAAAGCACATACAACTGAAAACATTATCCAATTCATATATCAGACTATAAAGTTCAATAGGGAGATGTTATGTGTTAAGTATGAACTAATTAAACTCACCATCATAACAGATGAAGGGTTTTTTCTCCCTACAGTCCTCATTCTTCCATCTGCCTTCATCATCAAACACAGTGACGGCACATTGGCCGCTGTTGTAGTTATCATCATCATACTGTAGGTTCCAGTGTCTGAAAGAAAAGCTGCTTCCATCTGACCACCTCCAGGTGTCTCTGAACAAACCGATGAACACATGCTGGTTTTCTGTAAGATTAAATAGATTTAGGAATTGTTCATCCTGTAGCTGGTCCAGTCCACTGATCAGGTCTGTGTGTTTCTTCCTGCAGTAACTCTGTGCTTCCAGCCACGTCTTATTTTGTTCAATCAGGTAGAATTTCTGTGATGTGTTACTTTCTGTAAAGAATTAGTAAAAGTAAAAACCATAAATTAGTACAAAAAAGGATTTAGTTTATCATAGTCAGCAATGCTGTATCTATCAACCAAACATTATCCCCATAGTTTTGTATAAAAAATATATTTATGCTCACCATTATAGCAAATGAAAAAAATTTCAAAATCACATGAAATGTCTTCCCATTGAAGATTATTGTCTCGTTGTATAAAGTAACAGTTCTCCGTTTCTCTATCATCTGGTTCTCCTTCATACCAGTTTGTCTCATTAAACTCCACTCCAGGCAGAGACCAGTACCAGGTTCTGATACCATCTGTCTGATCATACAGACCAATCCAAGCCTCCTTCATATCCCCTGCTGAGATACTGAGGAGTCTCTCCATCTCTGTGAAGTTAAACACTGTGGCCAGGTCAGTGTGCTTCTCTCTGCAGTACTGCTGAGCTTCAATCCAGGGCTTTTCCTCTTCTATGTAGTGATACTCATAGAGCTGACAAAACATCAAATAGTGCTGAG